ATATGTAACTACATGGCTTCTTTAAGCTTCTTTCCCTTTTTCACTGACTTGGGATCTTATGGGTAAAGTGACTGTTCTTAAGAAGTTACTAAATTCTTGAGCGTCTTTCTAAAGTCTCAAGCCCTGTATTTTCTTTCAATTATTAAAATCAAGGGAATGCATATCCCTGTGCGCTGTCACTCACCATCGCAAACTTCAAGACACAGTTGCTTTCTCGCAAGGTTCCTGTCACTTCCACTCTGCCAACCAATTCCTCCTTTTGGCCAAATTTAGGCCCAGAGTGGCAGTTCCCCTTACTACTTCCTCTGCTCTCTGGAAGATGAAATTGTCAGCAAGCAATAATAATAGCTAAGGTCTATTGAGCGCTTGCTGTGTGAGAGGTACCTTTCCTATGGGGAAGCCGAGGCCCAAAGAAGATAGGTGTCTGCTCAAGTTCATCCTCCTGCCAGGTGCTAAAGCATGAGTATTAGAGCCAGAGTAGGACTCTGGAGCCCAAGTTCTGTCTCTGGTTAAAGGAGCTTGTCACACAGTCTGGTTTTAGCTGGACAGACATCCAACCCGCCTGAGGATTTGAAGACCTCCCCCTCACCGGCTGCATCTCTCCACTTCGGGGTTGTTTTCGTGACATGGAGAGGCTGGTGGTCTGATTTCTGGATCTCTCTTCTCCTTCCACATTCAGCCTTCGATGCCTGTGACCTACAGTCTGACACCCTTTCCACTCCTAACTTCCCAGGATGCCTTCATCCCTTTCCGGGACAAGGCCAGTAGGGAGGCTTTTCTTAAACGCCTTTGCTTCCTCCTGCTGATGGACCATCTCGCACCCCTCATAGACAACGGCTGGCAGAACTAAAACAGGGGCACACTTCTGGGGGCCACTTGAGGTTAGCGACGGACTCCAAGTAGAATGGTTATTCCTTGTGGCTCCTCCTTGAAACAGTTCTGCTCTTTTTGTTTGTTTTTCTTTTTCTTCTAAAGTTACATGAGTTTGGAGAGTGCTACACCTTTTGGGTTTCTTAAGTAAACCATGTTTCAATTAAGCTGCTGCCCAAATCTGCTTCCTTTTCCAGTCATTGGGAGTACATCTGACTTACCCCAAGTGATAAAAAACCCAATCATCACAATCTGTATGATTGAAGGGATTCTAAGATTGAAAGAAGGATCATTTCATTAAAATGATCTTAAATTGGGCACCTGGGTGGCTCGGTCGTTAGGCGTCTGCCTTCGGCTCAGGTCATGGTCCCAGGGTCCTGGGATCGAGCCCCGCATCGGGCTCCCTGCTCAGCGGGAAGCCTGCTTCTCCCTCTCCCACTCCCCCTGCTTGTGTTCCCTCTCTCCCTGTGTCTCTCTCTGTCAAATAAATAAATAAAATCTTTAAAAAAAAATGATCTTAAATTCAGTATTGCCAAATTTAACCTATAAACCACTATAAACTTAGAAAGTACCATTTTCTTGTCAATAATTCCAATGACAACTGTGATTATAATTATTTAGAATTATTATTACAGAATAGTTAAAATAGTAATTATAACCCAAACTGCAAGTATTTCTACCACATAATCGTAAGCCAATTCTCTCAATTCTTAAGTTTGAGCTGAGATGATTTCACCCATAAAAGTTTATTGTTTATTAATGTTTCCTCTAATATTTTTGGCCTGTTTTAAATATTTCAGTTTTCCTATTTTATTATCAAGTTTTGGCTAACATATAACTCTTGTTCTTTAATGTGTTTCCAGGCCTAACTTGTCCTAAAATATACCCACCAAAAACACAATTTCAGAATATCAGACACAACTGTCTCTGAAAAGAATTCTATCACTCATCAACTCATTGCCTTCTATGGTGGTGGACTCTAATTTTTGACTTGTGCCAATTGAATTGCAGTCCTGGTTTCCTTGAGAGTCCAACAGCTTTGCTCATAGCTGAATGTAATGTACTCTTATTCTTTTTTTTTCTTTCTTTCTTTCTTTTTTTTTTTTTTTTTAGAGAGGGAGAGAGAGGGGTGGGAGGAGCAGAGGGAGAGGAAGAGAGAGAATTTTTTTTTTTTAAGATTTATGTATTTATTTGAGAGAGAGAGAGAGCAGGGGCAGTGGGGAGAGGCAGAGCGAGAGAGAGTCTTAAGCGGACTCCACATTGAGCATAGAGCCTGATGTGGGGCTCAGTCTTACAACCCTGAAACCATGACCCAAGCCAAAGGCAGCACAGAGCCCGACAAGGGGCTCGATCTCACGACCCTGAGATCATGACCTGAGCTGAAATCAAGAGTCGGTCGCCCAACCGACTAAGCCACCCCTAATGTGTTCCTATTCTTTTTTTTTTTAAAGAATTTATTTATTTATTTGAGAGAGAGACACACAGCCAGAGAGGAAACACAAGCAGGGGGAGTGGGAGAGGGAGAAGCAGGCCCCACTGCAAGGATCCTTGACTGCACCCAACAGAAACTGATTCTGGCTCCTTAGAGCAGGAGAGGGATTCCCGGAAGGATAGTAGGTAGGTGTCAGTGTGAAGGCTGAAGATCCTGATGAGCAAATGAGCAGCATCAAGGGGAAGTGGGCAGCTGCAACCACAGCCGTGGTCATGCCAGGGGACGGCCTGGTTGGAGAGCTGTGTCACTGTGCCTGCTGTCCCTGGCGTTGCTGCCACCAGGGAGGGCCTCAGACCGCAGAGCCTGCTGCCATGGCCTCTAGAGCGGCCAGCTTCTTTGCATCGCTTACTCCAGACCCATGGTTCTTAGCACAGATTCAGATGGTTGAGGCTGGATCATGCAATCCTACCCTAATTTCCAAGGGATGGGGCTCCGTTTCCTGCTAAGACCAGGCAAAGACTCCCCTACATAGTTGAGGGGTTTGGATGCCGAACACTCCTCAGAAACAACCCAGTAAATACTAGTATAGATCCAAGCCTTGGGTGCATGGTCTTCTTTTCCCCGAACAGAAGGGAGCCATTTCTGCTCTCAGAGGGATGAGCGTCCCTTTCTCTTTAACAAGGAATACCAGCTGCCTGGAGTTTTCTGATAGATATATAATGATATATAATTAATTTTTACATTAAATTGTATACATTTAGGGCGCCTGGGTGGCTCAGTTGGTTAAGCGACTGCCTTCGGCTCAGGTCATGATCCTGGAGTCCCGGGATCGAGTCCCGCATCGGGCTCCCAGCTCAGCGAGGAGCCTGCTTCTCCCTCTGACCCTCCCCCCTCTCATGTGCTCTCTCTCTCTCATTCTCACTCTCTCAAAATAAATAAATAAATCTTTAAAAAAAATCAATTGTATACATTTATAAATATTATCTTTATAGTATACTTAAATGGATAATATATTAATATAGTTTAATTAATACATGTATTAATTAATTAATATAAATAAAATATACATTTTTTGTTTAACAAAATTCTTTAATAAAATTTATTAAAATGAATATTTAAGAATTTTCTCAGCTTAAATTGTTTTCCTTTTCTACCCCCAAAGAAAATACGAAATTATCCACACCCACACACATATACACTCAAAACTATAGTAACATTCTCTAAACAGGACTACATTAGAGTTTAAATTGCTGGAAAAATCAAAAGAATTCCAAGAAGTGATTGCAGGGATGATTTTTTTTTCCTTTGAAAAACAACTGACAGTAAAGCAATTTAAATAAAATTATCTTCCGCGGTTGTCAAAAGTTTCTTGAAGCTCACATTTCAATTAATAATAATTATGCATGTATAATTTAATATACAACCATCTCCAACGTAGGATTAAGGATAATTGTATTGTATTTTATTTTTTTTAAAGGTTTTCTTAGTCAAGGCCAAAGGGCTCTTTATTTCACATGTAGAAAGAAATGTTTCTTTTTATATATTTTTTTAAGATTTTATTTATTTATTTGACAGAGAGAACACAAGCAGGGGGAATGACGGGCAGAGGGGGCCAGGGAGAAGCAGGCTTCCCGCTGAGCAGGGAGCCCAGGGAGCCCGATGCGGGGCTCCATCCCAAGACCCTGGGATCACCACTGGAGCTGAAGGCAGACGCTTAACGAGTGAGACACCCAGGCGCCCCGGATAATTGTATTTTAAATAAGAAATCTATAGCACTCCCTGCAGCAGCACATATACTAAAATTGGAATGATAAATTAAAAAAATCTATGACTTCAAACTCTCCACAGCATAACATTTAAAAACATTTAAATAGATGTTAAAGGGAGAGGAAGGAAATATTTTTACTTTGGAAAGTTAAATATATATACTCAAAATACCCCACAGCTACAGAGAAACTGCACTCTTTCAAGGTAGTGTGGTCAAATACTATGTCACTCTGTCACTTAGTATAACGTTTCAAGCATTAAGATGTTGACAGTTGGAAGAATTAGGTGGTATTTTACGTAAGTAGAGATAATAAAGTGAATAGGATTAATTGGGGCAGGTTTTTGGGGAGGTGAGTAGTGAAATCACTGAGAGGGTAGTGACGATAACCTGGTAGAGGAGATTCCTGAGGGACGGAATTTGCAAGATGTGTGTGGGACATGCATCGTGGCTGCAACAGATCTTGGTAACTATGGTGAGAAGCAATGAAGAGGAAGAAAGTCCTTCAGGGTGGCAAAAGGCCTAAACTCAGCCTTTGCGCTCAGGGCCAGGCTAATAATAATTGGTTCTGATAGGTCAATCATCCTCTGTTGTGCTGATGTGAGGAAAAAAAAAAAATCTCTCTTCCCTGTTTCCGGTTCACCAGCTTCCCCTCCTCTGCGGACCCCACCCTGCCCCCAGCCTGTGGCTAAACTGCCCAACTGCCAATTACAACCCACACTTCCCAGCATGCCTTGCACACCCCAGAAGCCCCAGTCCCCACCATTCATTCTGTTCCCCAGCTGAAAGCAGCTGTAGCAAATCACTCTCCAGATTCAGGGCGCCCACCACAGGGCCTCTCGCTCTCTGGGTGCCTCTACCCACTACCTCCCTTGGCTGTGGCTGAACCTGCTACCACTTGACAGCAAACCACACTTGACACAGGAACAGGGAGGAGAATGGGGCCCATGGCTCTACTCCTCTATGAAATCAACAAGGTTGTGCCCCTTCTTCCACAACAGGCGGCTTCTGAGACTTCTGCCCTTCTTTCCTCTCTCCTAGGGTCTCAGGAGCCCTGGCAAGGGGACCCATGGGGTAATCTTTTTAACATGTAGAGCTTCTGGGTCTCTGTGTGTGTGTGTGTGTGTGTGTGTGTGTGTGTGTGTGTGTGTGTGTGTGTGTGTGTGTGTGTGTGGTGTGTGAGTGTAGTAAATTTGGGAGCTTTTGACTAGTGCTCTGTGGCACTTTGCACTTTGCCCCACTGCTAAGGCCCCTTTGGTCTCCATAACCAGCACTTCCTTCTCTCCCAAGCACTCCCTCACTTCTAAGGAACCTGCTCTTTGTCCTACAGCTGGCCTTCAGGCGTGCACCCCTCCCTGTTTGAGGAATCCTCCCACCATCTCTCTCTTTTTTTTTTTTTTTGGATTCTTTTGTGTCCCTGAGCAGCCAGAACCTTATTTCATGGTTATGCCTTTCCTTCTGCTGCCATTCTAGAATGCCATTAACTGTTGGAAAACCCCGTCAGGCTGTGGGACAAGCCAGGCTTCGAATCCTGATGGGAGTCCACCATTCTGAAATCCAAAAAACTCTGAAAACCAACGATTTTTTTGGTGAGTTTGGCACAAACTTACTTGGTTGCAAAACCCGACCTGAGCTGACAAAAGCCTATTTTGTTCACTTTATCTTTTGCCCACTGAATGTGGATATGTAAGTTTGTTGCCAAAATATTAATGTGGTGATTTGGGGGTGCGGGTCTAGACCCTGTTGAAAGAATTATCTGGCATATGCACTGTGTTACCCTTGTAAATCATGAAAAATTATGATTTTTTAAAAGTATTTTTATTTTATTTTATTTATTTATTTATTTTAAAAGATTTTATTTATTTATTTGACACAGAGAGAGCACAAGCAGGGGGAACAGCAGAGGAAGAGGGAGAAGCAGGCTTCGATGGGGGACTCGATCGCAGGACCCTGGGACCATAACCTGAGCCGAAGGCAGATAGATGCCCAACCATCTGAGCCACCCAGGTGCCCCGAAAAATTATGGTTTTTGAAACACTTTTGGCCCCAGGATTTTGGGATAAGGACCAATTATTTTGCACCTGTGCTATAATGCCACACGAAAGAGGACTGGATAATTAATTATAGACAAACATGTGACAGAATACTATGGAGCTAATCAAAATCATATCCGTGGAAACTTAAGGACAGAGGAAAACAACTCCGGCGTATTGTTATAAATTATTTATGTAAAAAGAGCACATGGAATCTGAACTTTATATTAAAAAATACTACTTATGCATAGGAAAAGCTCGGGAGGCAGCACACCATAATGTTAATAGGGAGCTGTCTCTGTATTATGCCTCTGTGGTTGACTTTGTTCTCTTTAGCTTTTCCAGTATCTATGTAATGCTTTTACAATCAGAATTTTTTTTTAAAAAAACCACTAACTGTTACTAAAAACAACTTGGTACTGACACTTTTTACTGTGTGGCCTCGGGCAAAACACGTGATCAACCTGAGCCTGATTTTCTCTTTTGTAAATGAAGTCTGTGACCACCTACTTCAGAGAGTTGTTGAGAGAAAATGTACCTGGGCAGAAGACGGCTTGGCAGGCGGCAGTTTTAATAATAGCAAAGGGAACTTACATACCAGGCTTGTCTTGGGCGGCAGCAAGGTGCATAGATCCCTGGACCCGCCCTCCGATCTTAAAAGAGGACCTAACAGGGCTCAGTCACATATACCCCGCAGGTGTTTTCAACATCGTGTCGCCATCTCAAGGCTCTGTCCTTGGAGCAGCCTCTGGGAGTGGGAAAGACAAGTGGAACCCGCATTCCCAGGACGGGGCGGGGGGGTGAGGAGCCTGCAAGCATCCAGGTCCAGCTCATGGGGCGATCAGTGGTCGTGTCTTTTTTGATCACATTCCCCAACGGGACCAGATCATGCAAGGCCTTGAACCCTGGGGTAAGGACTCAGATTTATAGTCATCAATTATGAAAAAGGATTTCTCAATGACCAACAAGTGATTTTTCTCAAAACTTCAACCTCTCCAGCTGCTCCGGAGCAAATGACACTTTAACCTTCCTTCATGTAAGAAATTCTTGTTGCTAAAAAACAAAACAAACAAAGAGAAAGAGACTCATACAGAAAATCTGGTGGTTGCCAGAGGGAAGGGGGTGAGGGGTGGCTGAGATAAGAGAAGGGGACTAAAAGGCACAAACTTCCAGATACAAGGTAAATAAATCAGGGAGATGACGTATACGGCGTAGGGAATATAGTTAATAATAGTGTGACAACCCTGTATGGTGACAGGTGGTAGCTAGGGTTATCACAGTGATCACTTCTTAATGTATATAGATGATGAATGACTATGTTGTACCCCTGAAGTGAATACAATATTATCTGTATTGTATGCCGACTACACTTCAATAAAAAAAGAAAAAAGAAAAAAGTTTGCTGGGCACCCACGAGGTGCTAGACCAGGTATTACTGGGGATGCATACCAAGGTGAACAAACCATAGTCCCTGCCTGCCGGGACCCCCAGCCCCAGGACAGGCAGGACCAGGATAAGACCTGGCCGTGGGCAGCACTGGACAGAACTCCACAGGGTTAGAGTCCTGTAGAGACACGAAGCGATACCATCATCTCTCCTCCCGTCTCTCCTTGACGTGGCTTTCTCTCACGCACCATCTTCCTTATCTCTTCTTTAGTCTTTGACCCCAAGCCCAGTCCCATCTCGGAAGGACGCACTTCACATGCTGCCTCTTCCACAAAGCTTCCTCTGGAGTCACCCACTAGTCATTCGTGCTTCTCCCATGACTCCTCCAGTGCCTCATTCCTGCCCGTCCATGAGCGCCCCCAGCTCTGCCCTGAGCCGAACCGTGCCTACTGTGTGCGTGCCTCCCCACTCAACGTCCCAGGGCTCCCTGCACCCGGGCACTGACAGGAGATTTCTGCCAGAATCTTGTCATCTTCGCACTACATGAAATCTCTGATCATATGTTGATACTGTCAGTGTTTCCGGAAAAGGAAGAGGCAGTGTCCACACAAAGGCCAGTCACTGGAATTAGTGGCTGATGGTCTCGTTCTCTGGGAGAGTTTTGTGAACTGTGTGAGTCCCCACCTGGTGGGCAACAAAGAGCAAGAGGAGCTGACCTGACGATGTGAGACCCACCGGCTCCCCAGGATGGTTGGAGCAGAGGCGTATACACGCCAAGCAGGACCTTCGGCCAGGACAGGCTCACTTGCCCTCAGTTTGGCATTGACCCCGAAGCTCTTCCAGGACTGGCATCATGAGGGGTTGAGTGGTTCCAATGTGGGTGGTGGCCTCTCCTCTTTCCGTTTTTGACTTTTGGTTCTTAAAAACTACATTCCAAACGAGGGAAATGAAACTACTGAAGACTCTCCCCCAGCAGCCACCTGACGTGGGGCAAGAGAACAATTCCTAGTTAAGGCCCCAAAGGAAATCCCCTCCCTGTCATGTGCTGGGGCCAGGAGAAGCAGGGGAGGCCCTAGCTCACTGCTTGGCCAGGCCCAGCCACCGAGGTAAAGGGCCAGATGGTCGGGCTGTCGCCTGGGCAGAGAACCCGAAGCAGAGTGGAAAACACCACAGGTGGAGATCTTGCTGGGGAGGCTTCCCAGAAGAGGGGTGCCCAAGCCTTGGGGATGGGGTGGGTTGGGGTAGGCAGAGGAGAGACCATTGCAAGTAAGGGAGGTCTTACTTGTACGACCCTACTGTACAGGGAGTACAGAGTGGGGAACATTTGTTCTGTGTTTAGGGAAATTGTGAGCAGATTGGACTGGATGAAACCCACCCTCTCCCAAGACTTTGAAAGGAAAGAAGGCTGAGGGGAAGAAGTTGGCCCCAGCCCCTGCTATTGTAAAGAAGCGGGAGGCCAAGGAGAGGGTCAGTCCCCGGTCTGAGAAAAGGCCCAAGAATCCTGGCATCAGACAAGACATCCAGCCCAAAAGGGACCTCATTTGACAAATGGCCCCGCTACATCTGGCTACAGCAGCAAAGGGCTATTCTCTATAAACGTCTAGAAGTGCCTCCCGGGATTAACCAGTTCACCCAGGACTCGGTGAACAGCTACTCAACTGCCTAAGCTGGCCCACAGATACAGACCGGAGACAGAGCAAGAGAAGAAGCCGAGATTGTTGGCCTGGGCTCAGAAGAAAGTTGTCGGCAGAGCGGATGTCCACACTAAGAAGCGACCTGTCTTTTGAGCTGGGGTTAATACTGTCACCACCTTGGTGGAAAACAAGCAGACGCAGCTGGTAGTGATTGCACATGACGTGGATCCCACTGAGCTTGTTGTCTTCCTGCCCGCCCTGTGTCATGAGATGGGGGCTGCCTATTGCATTATCAAGGGGAAGGCCAGGCTGGGGCGTCTGGTCCACAGGAAGACCTGCACCACTGTCGCCTTCACACAGGTTAACTCGGAAGACTGGGGAGCTCTGGCTAAGCTGGGGGAAGCCATCAGGACCAATTACAATGGCAGATATAATGAGATCCACCATCACTGGAGAGGCAACGTCCTGGGTCCAAGGTCGGTGGCTCACATTGGCAAGTTGGAAAAGACAAAGGCTAAAGAATTGGCCACCAAACTGGGCTGAGTGTACATGTTGAATTTTCTGGACATAAAATTAACAAAAGTTCTCTTTCAAAAAAAAAAAAAAAAGACTGGATGAAACCCATTTGTAGCCACATGTTGAACTATGGAAGGTAACAATGAAGAGAGGCGGTAGGCACGGTTAGGCTACATGAGGCATCTGGACTTTCTCCTCCAGTTGAGAAGTGCCCAGCTCCTTGCTTTCACCTCAGGTCTCCTCGGAAATGCTGGAGCCCTGCTTGACACTAAACTTGGCTTTGTTATACAGTTGAGCAGGAGGTGGGTACAGACTCCACAACACATGGAACAGGCTCAAAGAAAAAGCACATAGTCCCCCAAACTCTCAGCATCCCAAAGGGGATGTGCTTGGCTAGGGCAGGGCTGGATGCACCATCGGTTGCGTTCCAGAGGAAGTACATGATCCCCTCGGCCTCAAGAAGCCTGCATGGGAGGGGGTCTGATCCTGAGCTATGCAGTCAGGGTACAGTCTTGCTGGCATGAAAAATTGCTGTTTTCAGCTGCAGAGCAGCATTGATTTGAGCTGGAAGTCTTAGGTCCTTTCAGCTTGCTCCAGATGAGAGGGAGAGCTGCTGGTGCTATTTGCCAACAAACTGGCTTGTCTCCACATAGCCATCAAGACCCTTGGTTTTCCAAGGATTTTTTTTGAGGGGTAGCAGCTGCCTTCCTCAAAATAAATTCTGTGAAGAACCTTAATGTATAAAACATTTACAAGTGGAATCGCTTGGGATAAGGAGGGGATGGAGTGCCTGGAGGCCCACCAAGCTGTCCTTAGGGACCTCTGAGGACTGCCCCCCCCCAACCTGTTGAATCTGATTTTAAAGTAAGAAAGGCGATGGCAAGCCATGAAAGACTTTAAGCAGGGGGTGAGACCATCCAACATGCATTTTAGAAAGATGCCCCTGCTGCTGGGTGGAATCGACATGGGAGACAGCCCTGTTTAAGGTGGCTACTGAAAAGGTCCAGACGTGAGTGGATGAATCTAGACCCAGGGCAGTCACAGAAAGGATAAAGAGTAGGTTTGGATTCAAGAAATATTTCCAAGTTCGGGTGCCTGGGTAGCTTAGTCCATTAAGCGTCCGACTCTTGAATTCAGCTCAGGGTGTGATCTCAGGCTCGTGAGATCGAGCCCCATGTCAGGCTCCACACTCAGTGGGAAGTCTGCTGGAGTTTTCTCTCCCTCTGCCCCCCGAGCTCCCCCCGACCCTGCTCACCTGCACACACCCCCTCTCTCTAAAATAAATAAATAAAAATCTTTTTTAAAAAAGAAAAGAAATATTTCTGAATTAGAATCAGCAGAAATGGGTG